CCCCAAAACCCCAAAACCCCAAAACCCCAAAACCCCGTATTTAAAAGGAATAATTGGAATGATGTAATTTTATCAAAAATGAACTACTTTGGAAGAATAAGACTCGGGAACTTAAGGAATTACTTCTCCTTATACAGAATTATGGGGCTCTTTATTGGGTATAAAAGCTACTGAATGTACCACCACAACTCCACAGAACAAATTATTTCTTACAGGACTATTAAAGAGGATGGAAGTGAGAATACTCTAGTAGAAGACTCAGGTCTCTTGGGCGATAAGTTCAGACCTACTTTTTTGGTATTATCTGGATTAGGACAAACTTTATACGGTGCTATTACTAGATCTAGCCCTCCTGGGTACCAGAATGAGATTATTAAGCTTCCAGATGGGGGTCAGATCACACTACAAAGTATTATTCATCCTAATGGCGAAAATAAGGGTGTTGTCATTGTTGTTCCTGGTATTACTGGGGATGGGTATGACAATTATGTAGTCAATACTGTGCAAAAATCTATTGAGAACGGATATAGTACATACATTATCAATCATAGAGGATTATGTAATACTCCTTTATTAACTCCTCTGACTTATCATGGAGGAAGCTCTTTTGACACAAAAGCTGCTTTGGAGCACATTAAGAACAAACATCCAAGCCAGCCTATATATGGAGTGGGGTACTCTTTAGGTTCAAACATTCTTGGAAACTACATTGGTGAGCAAGGAGATAAATGAATTCTCTCAGGCGCAGTTCTTGTCTGTTGCCCCTTCAGGACTGATGTTGCTAGTCACAAGGTCGAAAACGAGCATTTCGGATTGATCTCCAAGTGGCTCGCTTGGAGTTGAAAATAAAGTAATTCAAAAGCACGAAGAAATGTATCCCTTATTTATTCAGGAGCATGGGCTTGAACTTTCTAGCCTATTAAAGGACATCAGAACATTAAAGGATTTTGATGATAAGGTGACTGCCAAACAATTCGGGTACAAATGAGTTATGGACTACTATAAACAATGTAGCCTTGTACCTAAGATGAAAAATATGAAAGTAAAAACTTTATTTATATCAGCATTAGACGACCCCTTTTTTGGTCCTGACGTAATTCCACACTCAGAATTTGAGACGAATGAAAACCTTTACTTGATTGCTACAAGTGGAGGAGGCCATGTAGGATTTTATGACTCAGTGCTTTCCAATGATCAATGGCACAATAAGCCTGCAATGAGATTTTTTAATTATCTCCATGCTGCAGATAGGTTTTTAATTTAGGTTAGTTTTCAATAAGATTTTATCCAACAATAATTTCAATCTTAACAACATCTTCAGGGGTTTTGGGGTTTTGGGGTTTTGGGGTTTTGGGGTTTTGGGGTTTTGGGG